ATGAGATATTGAGAAGGAATTTTTTTTTCTGTGAGGGTGGGGAGGCCCCTGGCACAGGTTTCCCAGAAAAGCTGCCCTATCCCTGGAAGTGTCCAAAGCCAGGGCTTGGAGCAAGCTGGGCTAGTGGAAGGTGGGATGAGCTTTGAGGTCCCTTCCAACCCAACCCATTCTGGGATCTGATGATGAGCAGCTCCTCATCCTTCTCCCTCCCTTCCCAGCTGCAGCTGCACAGCCCTGATGGAGCAGCTGATCGTGGATAACAGCTGAGGGCATGCAGGTGTGAGCAGATCTGATCAGAGCCCCCGGGTGTTTGCTGCCTCCCGGGCATTTCTAGAGGAGAAATGGAACTGAGGATACGCTGGTTTGGCAGGTCAAAGGGACAGGAAAGAGCTGCCACTAGTGCCACCGTGATGATGTTTTCTGTGCTGTTAGGGCAAAGAGGTCTGTGGCTTGCTCAGATTTTTCCCCCTTAATTTACATAATCTTAAAAAATTTCTATTAAGGAACAATCAGTAGCTACTTCTCATTTGAACTTGAACTGCTTTTCTGTAACAACTCTCCTTTTTTATCAATAGACTTTTTAGGAAGAGGTTTTTACAGCATTCACTGCTTTCCCCACCAGGCTGACCTACAAGAGCTGCCACTAAACTCTCCTGATGTGCTAAATTTAAATTTTAATCTCCTCCTAACTTCCCCTTTTCATCTGCTCAACAATACCATGTTAATTTCAGGGAGCTTCTGAGGAGGAGCAGAAGCAGAACCCCTGACATCAAGATCTATCACAAGGCCCCACTTGCTTTTTTCCTATGAATTACCCCAAAAGTTATGTGGCAATGCTATAACAGCACAATAACAAGTTTTATTTAGTTTTAGCCATTTATTGCTGCCCCAGCTTTCAGAGTTCTGATTCTTTAGAATAACCAGTTTGTTTTAGTTAAACTTTACCTCTAATCAGAGCAAGTTTCAGCTGCCCACCTACCTCTGCAGTGTCTTTCCAAATCCAGTTTCCCATCTTTGGACAAAGAAATCTTCATTAACAGCTTTTACTACAACAAAGACACAACAAAGGTGTGTGCTCAAAAGGCTTCAGTTTATTAAAAAAACGAGGATCTGCTTTGCAGTAACAGAACAACCACGATCATGCAATTCTTGCACAAAGACAATGCAGGCAGAAGATTAAAGACAAAAGCTGCACAACATACGGGAGGAACTCAAGCAAACCAAGATAAAAATTAAACCAGTGGTTTACAATGAACATTAAGTTCCAAACAGTAAAAATTAAGTGCCAGTGTTCGTGCCATCTCTCAAACTTTTAGTCTTGTACAAAAGCTGAAAGGAAGCCACAAAAAAACTGTAAAGAGCTATGCAAATGTACAAAACCCAGCTCGAGTAGGAGGAGCATTTTAACATGAAAATCGAGGTCAGATCACATCTACTCTTCCTCCAAGCACGCTCCCTCTTCAGCAGGATCCAGTGGCAGGGGCCGAGCTCTGTAAGGAGCATTAATTCAGAAGCATTAGCAGAAACCAGCTGTGGTTTGAAAGGCTAAAAAAGCCCTTTTCCCAAAGCCCAAATGACTTAGTTAGCCTCAGACAGCACCTTGAGGCATCAGGACTGGCAGGGGCTACTTTATCCTGGGTTCTCTTCCCACCACCTTGTTCTTGCTCGGCCCAACAAACTCCAAATTAAAGGGATTAAAGATTTCCTGTGCTACAGCAAACGTTTTCTGTTTTACCAACAGGTGGGATGCACTTAAAAGCCTCTGTCTGCTTGTCCTGCAGGACAGTTTGGGCCCACTTCTTATGGGCTCCCCCTGGCAGTTTGGGAATACCTACATTTGGTGGAAAAATGGAGGTTCAACCCAGAATTCCCTATGGAAAACAGAGTGTCTTGTAAGACAGTGTTTTATACTGCTGCCTTTTTAGTCAGTAGTGCAGCCTACAGGTTAATCTCTGAGGTTCCAGCTTGGAAAAGCCATTCAACTCCTGGCACGTGGAAGTTGTTAGTGGTCTCCTAAGCTTCTCCAAAATTCACTGTGCTGGCAAAGTTATGCCTGAGCAGTAAGAACTTGCCTGAACTACTCCACCCATTTTCAGGAACCATGATGAGGTCTCTAAAAACCTTGCCAGACTTTGCTGAGAAACATCACTTCCATGAGGATACAGATGTCAGCAGACACACTGTCAACTTGCCCCTTCAAAAATGAACTGGAGTTTCACAGAGGAAAAATAATCACAGCTTGCTTCCCTGCGGGGGTCCCAGTTGTTGGTTTCTCTGGGTCTGGACTGAAGGCACTTGAGACAGTAGTTCACGTTCAGACTCAAGTGTTTACTATTTCTTATCAGTGAAACAGTCTCACTATTGTGAGTTTGGCAGCTTTTCATTAGAAGGCACAAAATGGCTAACAATCTCTTGTTCCAAGGTCTTTTAAGACTGAACTATCCAAGTAAGAACTGACACCTAGATTATTTTCCCTTTTAAGCCAATAACTGATCCCAAAGAGCTGCAATGTGGACTTTTCTGCCCAATTACAAAATGCCACCCAAACCCATGAAGAAGAAGGAAGAAGCAGCATGAAAAAGAAACCCAGGATGACACCCTGTGCCCTCCATCTTGCTTCCATCCACAACATACTAAAAATCCCAAAACCTAAATTTCTCACCAAGTGATACACCTACACTAGTCTCTATAATCTATTTCACACCTTTGTGGATTCTAGCCTGTCTTGAAGTCTAGGAAACTTTCTCCATGAATGAGGGTCAAAGTCAGAGCTCCCCTGGAGGACAGAGCACCCCAGAGCAGACAGAGAAATATTCCCTGTGCCCTGGGTTTCCACACTTCCCGTTGCCCCAGTACCCACTCCAGGCCGCTGGTCCCGGGCGCGTCTCCATCGGGTGCCCGGCTCTCCTTGGCCGGGAGCCTCAGGAAGTCGCTGATGCCCCTTTGCCAGGCGGGCACCGGCCTCACGCAGACCCGGTTCAGCCCCACAGGGCGCCTGTCACCTGCGGGAGAGCCGTGTCAGCCCTGGGGAGGGAGCGGGGAAAAGAGGGGGATGAAATGAAGGAGGGAGGGAGGAGAGAGAGGAGGAGGAGGGAAGAAAAGAAGAAAGAGCATAGTGTGAAAAATGCGCATTATATGATCGGCTTTCCGCAAATATTTATTGCTCTCTTATCGAGTTCTTCCCGCCTCACTCAGCCCTGAAGACGCTGTCAGGATTCAGAGGAAGAAGTTGACACTGACCAGACAGAATCCTTTGTTTGAATGGAATTTATGCATCATGAATGAGGTGTATGAATATGCAACAGGCTTTTGAGGGTTAGTCCTCTGTTAACGCGTGTCCTTTTTCGGGTTTATTTTTTTTGGCCAGAAAAAGGTACCCGGACCGTCTGTAACTCTTTGTTCTTATCGTCTCGTATTACCCTAAATCCTAATTGTCCAAATTTTTATTACTCTAATTATATTACTATTTTCATAACCATTTTATTACTATGAAACTTTTAAAATTTTAAAAACAAGTGACTGGCGTTTTTCACACTAGTGAGGGAGAGAGGGAAAGAGAGGAAAGGAAAAAGCTTGGGAAGGGAGGGAGAAGGGGGGGCGCTCACCTCTCCGGCCGGGCAGCGGCGGCCCCGCGCTGCTGCTGCTGCTGCTGCTGCTGGAGCCCAGCGCCTTGCGGGGAGCGCGGGCGACCAGCACTGCGGAAACGGGGCACAGCGGGCTCAGCAGCGCCGCTCGGAACCCCTCAGCCCGTCCCGTGCCGTTCCCGTCCCGCTCGGAACCCCTCAGCCCGTCCCGTGCCGTTCCTTTCCCGCTCGGAACCCCTTCAGCCCGTCCCGTCCCGTTCCTTTCCCTTCCCGCCCGGAACCCCTTCAGCCCTGCCCGTCCCGTTCCTTTCCCGCTCGGAACCCCTTCAGCCCGTCCCGTGCCGTGCCGTTCCCTTCCCGCTCGGAACCCCTTCAGCCCTGCCCGTCCCGTTCCTTTCCCGCTCGGAACCCCTTCAGCCCGTCCCGTCCCGTTCTCTTCCCACTCTGAACCACCTTCAGCCCGTCCTGTCCCGTCCCCTTCCCGCTCGGAACCCCCCTCAGCCCGTCCCGTTCCGTTCTCTTCCCACTCGGAACCCCCTTCAGCCCGTCCCGTCCCGTTCCTTTCCCTTCCCGCTCGGAACCCCTTCAGCCCTGCCCGTCCCGTTCCTTTCCCGCTCGGAACCCCTTCAGCCCGTCCCGTGCCGTGCCGTTCCCTTCCCGCTCGGAACCCCTTCAGCCCTGCCCGTCCCGTTCTCTTCCCACTCGGAACCACCTTCAGCCCGTCCCGTCCCGTCCCCTTCCCGCTCGGAACCCCCCTCAGCCCTGCCCGTCCCGTTCCCTTCCCGCTCGGAACCCCCTTCAGCCCGTCCCGTCCCGTCCTGCTCAGAACCCCCCTCAGCCCTGCCCTTCCCGCTCAGAGCTCAACTCAACTCAGCTCAGCTCAGCTCAGCTCAGCTCAGCCCAGCCCAGCCCAGCCCAGCCCAGCCCAGCCCGGCCCGTCCCGGCCCGGCCCGGCCCCGCACCCTTGCGGAAGGCTCGTCCACGCTGATCCACCTTGGTCCGCGCCATCCCGGCCCGGCACTGCCCGGCCCGGCCCCGCCCCGGCAGTGCCATTGGCCACAGCCCGCCAATGGAGCGCGGGGCCGCCCTCGTCCCGCTGCCTTCCCGCTCTCCTCTGCCCTGGCGGGATATTGGGAAGAAATTCCCTGGGAGGGGAGCGAGGCGCTGACACGGGGTGTACAGAGCGTCTGTGGCTGCCTCATCTCTGGAAGTGGTCAAGGCCGCGCTGAACGGGGCTTGGAATAGCCTGGTCTAGCGGGAGGGGTCGCTGCCCATGGCGCTGGGTTGGAATGGAATGGAACGGAACGGAATGGAATGGGATAAAATGGGATTTACGGTCCTGTCCAATCAAAACTATTCCCGGACTCTATGAACCGGTCCCGGAACGGTCGCTCCGCGGCCGCGTTCCCGGGGGAAGGGAAAGGAAGGGGAGGGTGTCGGGCGGTGCGGCGGCGTTTCCCGTCCCCCGCGGAAGATGGCGGCGCCCAGCGCGCTCCTGGCCTGGTGCGTCCAACACCTGCGCGGGGACTTCGGGCTGGACGTGGGCGAGGACGTGGTGAGGTGAGCGGGGCCGGGGCCCGGCGGGGCGCTCCTGGCCTCTGGCAGGGGCTCCTCGGTCCAGCACGGAGCAAACACGGTGTGTCAGAGCAGCTGTCGGGAGTTTGCCCGGGGTTGTCGCTCGGGTGGAGATTCCGCGAGGGGAAGTGGCGGGAGGTGGGATGTGGGATGACAGAATCACAGATTGCTCTTACTTGGGAGGGATAGTAAAGGTCACATCGTGCTACCTCCTGCCATGGTCTTACCACGGTCTCCACAGAAACGGGATCCGAAAAGGAAAGATAAATGATACACGTGTGCGATGAGACCGCGGACCGCCCGCCCCCTCACGCGTTTTTCTCCACCCCGGCCCCTCGTAGGTACATCTTGTCCATCACAAACGAGGATGAGATCCGCGAGTACGTTGTTGACCTTGTTCAGGGCACGGACGGGAAGAAGAGCTGGTTTGTGGAAGAGCTGCTGAGCAGGTGGAGGAAATCTGCCCAGCTGCCCTCCGAGCCCTTCCCAGCCTACCGGAAAAAGGACGGTGAGTGGTGCACAGCGGGAAACTCCCAAATAAACTCGGTTGTTGTGCTTACAAACAATTCCATGCCACAAATCCCTGTGTGGACACCATCCCATTCCTGATTATGGGGCAGTTTAAAGCCTGTTTTTGTGGTAGCAGGCCCCCAGCTGGGTAATAATTACCATTGACTCCGTGACCCAGAAGGCATGAAACATGCTTTATTATTAGAATTCTACAGTTCTTATGGGAACAATGGTGGACCTAAGACCTGAAAACCTCTCCCACACTATTGGTGGCTATCGGTAACACACTCTAGAGAACCATGTCTATAAACAGTGCTTACAGAAAGAGAGATAATAATTGTTTGGATTCTTTTCCTCTGACTTTCCCACAGCTTCTGCACAGCTTCCCAGGATTTTTCTGGGAGAGTCTGTGCCCGCTCTCTGTGGCCAGAGAGCTGCTGCCACACATTTTCAGTCATGAAGTGGAGTCCAGGGACATCTTTCTTCTGCTGGCACTAACCCAGCCTCTCTCTGTGCTTGCTGACACTCCCAGAGGCTTTGGAAGTGCCACGGGCTGGGGACCAAGGGAAGAAGGGGAAGCGCAAAGGGCGGAACAAGCAGGAGACCCCGGCGTACAGCGAGCCCAGTGCTCACGGGGAGGAGGTGAAAACCCCACTGGACCTGGCCAAGGTGAGTGGGGGGCAAGGGGGTCACTGGAAAGGCTTGGAACCTGGGGAAAGGGGGTGTCAGACACTGGTGAAGATGTGATTGGAAGGTGGAAAGGAGTGTCTGGGACGTGTCACACTGGGGTGCCCAGGTGGGCACTGCTCAGGCCACACCTCAAATCCTGGGGTCAGTTTTGGGCTCCTCACAAGAAAGACAGTGAGGTGCTGGAGTGTGTCCAGAGAAGGAAACAGAGCTGGGGAAGGGGCTGGAGCAGCTGAGGGAGCTGGGGGGGCTCAGCTGGAGAAAAGGAGGCTCAGGAGGGACCTTCTGGCTCTGCACAGCTCCCTGACAGGAGGGGACAGCTGGGTGAGGGTTGGCATCTACCCAAGGAGACAAGGGACAGGATGAGAGGAAATGGCCTCAAGCTGTGCCAGGGGAGGTTTAGGTTGGATATTAGGGAAAAAATTTTCATGGAAACCATGGTCAGATACTGGAAGGGACTGTCTAGGACAGTGGTGGAGTCACCATCCATGGAGGGATTCAAAAACGTGTGGATGTGGCACTTGGGCAGGGAGGAAGGAAGAGAGAGAGGAAGGAGGAAGAGGGAAAAGGAGGGAGGTGGGAGAGAGAGGAAAGGAGGGAGAGTTATTGATGGGTCTCTGTGATCTTGGAGGGCTTTTCCAACCTAACCATTTCCATGTTTTTATGATATCCAGGCTGGGGAGAAAGGTTGTGTCTGTAACTGGGAATAAAATAATCATCAGGTAGCAAATATGCCAGCATGGATTTTTCTCCCCCAGAAAGCCTGAGGGGAGAGAGCAGGTAAATGAAGTTGAGGCTGTAATTAGGAATAAAAAGGATTTCTTTGAATCAGATGTGAGGGTGGGGAATTTAAGCCACCAAGTAGTTAGAACATCCTTTCCTACTGTATTTAAACCATCTCAGTCACGCCAATTAAAGCTTTAATTAGCAACCAAAATACTTCAGAAAGAAACTGTGGAATAAGAGCATAGAAACACCAAAACCTGAGAAATGCTGCAATTCCTGAGTAAGGAGTGGAACTTGAATTCACATTTTTAAATGGAACTTTTTGGGGCAGGGAGGCTGCAAAGGCTGAAAGTATTTGTAAAAGTGTTTATAGGATAAACCACAACATTTTTGAATTGGTGGGTTAAAAGTGGACAGTGATGTTCCATTTCCTTGTAGTTACCATCTAACTTAATTAAAATGTTAAAAACAAACAAGAGAGAAAGATCTGCCAAAGTCACTTTATCCTTTTTTGGGTTTATTTTGTGGTGGCAGTGCTTGAATCTGGCAGTGGCACTAAAACCAGTTGGACTTTACTGGGGGGACTGGAAATGCTGCATCTCCTTGTCATTAAACCAGATTGAAACTCAGAGGTGAATCATGGGACCACTGAGGCCAGGTCACAGAAGGAGGAGCAGAATTTCTTTTACAGCTCAGTACTTGAACTCTCCTGTGTGGAAAACCTCTGCTGAGGTGGCTGTGCCAGGTGGGATTTGGGGAGGCTGCTGGGAGGTGACATGGCAGTGAATGCCCTGCTGCCACCCCCAGCTGTGTCTGGGGACAGGCGTACCCAGTGGGGTTCTGTCAGTGCTCTTTCTCCAGGCAGCACTGACAGAACCAGAGGACACAGGCTCAAGTTGCACCAAGGGAAATTTAGGTTGGATATCAGGAAAAAGCTTTTCATGAAAAGAGTGATAAACTTCTGGAATAGCCTGCCCAGGGAGGTGGTGGAGTCACCATCCCTGGATGTGTTTTAAAAAAGACTGGATGTGGCACTCAGTGCCTTGATTTATTTGAGGTGTTAGGGCATGGGTTGGACTCCATGATCCTTAAGGTCTCTTCCAACCCAGTGATTCTGTGAATTCTGTGCCCCACTTGGACCTGCAGAAGTTAGCTGAATTAGCCCTTCAGGTAGAAGTTCCTCTTGCAGAGTTCTAAATCAGGGAGAAAAACAACCTGTTAGGAGGGTTTCCCCTATAATTTGTATGGCTTTAGAGCTTGTCTGGTTTCTGACAGTCTCCTGTGTGTCACTGCAGTGACAAAATCTCTGCAAGCCTTCAGCCCCATCCCAGGCACAGCCCTGGTCACCTTGTCAGGGACAGTGTCCTGCTTTTCCTTCAACTCTTGCATGATATAGATCCTTTGGGATACCTGTTAACACCCAGATTTAGTTCAAAGGGCACCTTTTGGAGAAAGGGGACAAGTTATTGATGGCAGAGGAAATTCTTCATGTGGGAGGAAAATGTTAATTGGGTAGAGCAAAATGTTTTAAAGCAGATTGGTTGCTATTGTGAAAGATTAGTTTAACTCTCAGTGGCCTAGGAGGAGAGAAAAAAATCTTGAGTGAAGGGTTGTGTTTCTGCCTGGGATGGTTCTGAGCTCATTTCTTGTACTTTGAGCTCAGTCAGCAACATGTCCACCCACAGAACTGGGAGAGACCAAACTCTACATTTCTCTTTTAGTAAAGAACAACCTTCCAAGGTTCTCCCCATGGCAGTGGGGAAGAGAAGGAGGTGTAGATTGTCACTGGCACTTTAAACAGAGCTGTTGTCCAGGACTCTGAAACTGGTCAAGCTGTGGCATCCTTCCCATGTGATGTCCTTCCCAAGCCTTTATTTCCTTCTTTTCCTCAGGTGTGCACTAAAGAAGAGCAGGACATTCTTCAGCGGGACTCCAACAAGAGCCAGAAGCTGCTGAAGAAGCTCATGGCAGGTCAGTAGCTATTCCATACCCAGAACAGCATGAATCCAAATGTTTGTGTGCATTATTTCCTTCAGACTTCACTGAACCACTTGCCCTCATTGCTGCCCTTTGTCTGGCATTAAAGAGATGGATTGGGAGTTGGTTCCTTGGTTCCTCCTGCAAGCCCTAGGCAGCATTTCCAGGCTTCAGCAGAGGTGACAGTGGCAAGTGTCAAATGGCAGCGTGTGGTGTCCTTCCCCTGAGGCCCCAGGGCTGCTCATTCAGCATTCCAGAACCAATCTCATGAACTGGATCATTGTAGCAGTCCTTGAAAATTAGGATAAGTCTCCTGTGGAATGTGTGCTGTGGAAGATAAAGTGCTGCTGTCTGAGTTGCTGGGCTTAGAGAGGTGGTGGTTAATATTTTCTAATGGCTTTTCTTGTCTCACACTTACCTTGGGAGCTAGAAATAGGAACAGAGCCAAGGAAAGCAAGAGGAAATACTATCCAGTGTCCCAGCGAGGACCTGTGCATTGTGGGGATGTTTGTCTGAGTTTAGCTGAACTACAGCCAAGGTCGTGGTGTTCTTGGTTGGAAAATACACTTTGCTGAGGAGCTGGGGAGATATTTACTCCAGATCTGGGCTTCTCCTTAGAGCTGTGGAGATGGCAGGAGGATGGAAGTCCTTGAGAGCACCAGCCAGTCTGTTCTACCCTTCCAATACCGATGTTGGCATACTTCAGGATCCCTTTTCTTACCTGTTTTATCTCTTTCCGTCCTGCCCATGCCAGCTCTTGTTTTGTTCTCTGTGTAGGTAAAAGCTGGAATGTGATTTGTTGTTTGTCTTGGGAGTAAAAATTGTGGATCAACGACCAAAGGGAAATACAGGCAATTGTTTCCCTGAAGTGAAGGCATTTCCCAGTGTGGTGAAATGCACTGGTTTGTTCCATCGTGGCCTGGGTTCAAACCTTTTTTTGTGGTTTTCTTTGGTTGTTCCCTGTTGGTTGGGTGGGTCTGGGCCTCTTGCCAGGAGGTGTAAGAAGGAAGAGCGTTTGCTGGGAATAGATTTCTCTATCTCTGGAAACAGCTGGTTTGGAGAATCTGGTGTGGTGTGTCAGAACAGGATATTGTTTGTGGGAGGCACAAGCAGCAGTAGAAGTCTCTGGGTCTCCCTGGAGTCTGTCCTGGGCAAAAGACTCTTTGTGGGGGTAACAACATGTGGGAAGGATTTGGCTTTTAGGAGGGGACTCCTGAAAAAGCTGGGGTTGTTGCTGAAGAAGAAAAGCCTCCAGACCTTAGAGCCTCTCCTGGTGCCTAGAGGGCTTATGAAAAGGAGGGAGAGGGACTACTTAAATGGGCATGTAGTGATAGGACAAGAAGGAATGGTTTTAAACTAAAAGATAAGAAATTTAGATTGGATTTTGGAAAGAAATCCTTCTCTGTGAGGGTAGTGAAGCTCTGGCACATGTTTTCCAAAGAAGCTGTGGCTGTCCTATCCCTGAAAGTCTTGCAGGCCAGGTTGGATGGGGCTTGGAGCACCCTGGGATAGTGGGAGGTGTCCTTGGTGTTGCACCATGGCAGGGAGTGGAATGAGATGAGCTTTAAGGTCCTTTTCAACCCAAACCATTCCATGATTCTGTGACCCGAGGCCCATGGTTGGTGATGGGAGGGATTTTGACTACCCAAATTGTTAGGGAAGGGTGAAGGAAAACAAAAGGCCAGGAGCTTCTCCTTAAACTTTACCCAGACTTTATCACTGTGATATTTAAGTGATTCCTCCTCTTTGGAGGAATGAGTCTTTGAAATGGGCTTGAGGGAAAATTGTGGCTTCAACCTCCCCGGAAAGATGCTGATCTTACTGCAAAGCTGTACTTTTACCTCCTGGCATGGCATTTAGTTTAGGGAGCATTTCTGCAGCCTGGCCCACCCAAATGGCTTTAACACACTGACTGCTGAGCTGTGTTTTGTTTTGTGCCTCAGGTGCCGAAAGTTCAGGGAATTTGGATGCCATAAGCAAAGGCTTGCTGCCTCAGCAGGAAGCAAGACTCAAGTCAGGCCTGGAGATGGCTGTGAAGCACAAAGACAAGCTGCTGGAATTTGATAGGACAAGGTAAGATACTAGGTGGGAGACTGTCATGAATAGTATAAATGACCTGGCAGGTGAGGTGCCTTTAGCAGAAACATTGGGAATTCCTTCTAAAACCCAGACTGCAGCAACTGACACCTTAACTATGGCATTTGAGTGGGACAGGAGTGAGTCTGTGGAATAGATCCCTTTTGGGTGTTCTTGCTTTTTGTCCCTGACAGTCCAGCTCTCCAGAGGGATGGGAAAGAGCAGGTTAGAGGGTGGGTTTGAGGCTCTGCTGTGGTCCCTGTGTGCTCATCTTCTCCTGTGGGGGTTGCTCTCTCAGCGTGCGTCGGACGCAGGTCATTGACGACGAGTCGGATTACTTTGCCACGGACTCCAACCAGTGGCTCTCCAAGCAGGAGAGGGAAGCGCTCCAGAAGAGGGAGCAGGAGCTGCGGGAGCTGCGCCACGCCTCTCGGCTGGCCAAGAAAATCACCATCGACTTTGCTGGCAGGCAGATCTTGGAGGAAGACAACAACATGGCTGAGTACCACAGCAAGTGAGTGAGGGCTGGCAGCGTGCCCGAGAGCAAGGAGGTGCAAATCCTTATGGAGAGTGGTCTGACACACCTGTTAAAGCTGCCTGGGAAAGAGGTGTTTAAGAAGGCCTGTCTCAACAGAGCCACTTGAGCTCAAATTCACACCAAGCTGAGTTTCTGCACTAGAGAGCAGTGACTGCTCAAACTGGAAATCAGACTGAGCAAGGAAGTAATTTAATGGGGGGAATGGGGCAAAAATGCTTTGAGTCAGAGTGTGTGGGGAGAAGGGAGATGTTCCCAGGGGAAGCAGGGAATGTTCATCCCTCTCCTTTGTGCTTGCAGACTGGATGAGACCATTGCAGCCATGAGCTGTGGCGCACTGAGCGAGCCAGCCAGGAGCCCTGGGGCAGAGATGACACCAAACTCTGGGGTTTTGGTGAATCCCCGTCTCCTCCAGCCTGCTCCTTTGGTCAGTGGGGCTTCCGTGGTTTATTCCAGAGTAGTGACTAATTCTGGGGAGTTGAGCTTGAGAATTGTCAGTTCCAGCATGTCTGTAGAAGGGGAACTTCTGGGGAAAAGATCACAGGATGGTTTGAGTTGAAGAGACTTTAAAGACAGTCTCATTCCATCCCCTGCCCATGGGCAGGGACACCCTTCACCAGACCAGGTTGCCCTGTCCAACCTGTCCAAGAACACTTTCAGAGATGGGGTGACTTCTCTAGACAACCTGTTTCAGCATCTCACGACTCTCACAGTAAAGAATTTCTCCCTAATATCCAATCTAACCCTGCCCTCTGCCAGTGGGAAGCCATTCCCCCTGTTTCCCCTTGTTTTTTATCCTCTCTTTCCTCCCGTGTCGCTCATTGGCCATCTCAGTTTGGGACAGAGAAGGTTTGACAATGCCCTGCTCCTGGTGGGTTCATTTACTGGAGTTTAGCATCCTGCCTCCTTTTCAGGCATGGAGAAGAATTTGTGAGAGTCGGCCTAAGGCTGTGTCACCCTTTCACCTCTGTTTTTTGAAGCCTTTTCTGCCAGATTCCCATTTTCCAAAGAGCATAAGGGTAATGAAAGAAAACTTCAGATAGGATTTGCACTTGATTTGCACACATTACTCCTGGAGAAGTGCTAACCTTTTTCTGTTTCTTTTGAACACTCTCAAGTGGGTGGACCAAACTGGTTTGCTCCCACAAAGGAAAACTGTTCGTTCCATGGAGGCTGGAAGTGAGTCTGGCTTGGAGCGGAACCGGCTGCGGATTCAGGACCGAGAGCTGCAGGAGATCTCAGATGATGGTTGGTGCCTCAGCCTGCACCAGCCTTGGGCTTCCTTGCTTGTGAGAGGAATCAAAAGGTGAAGGTATCTCTGGCAGCTCCTGCTCCACAGGGGAGGTGGGAAGTTGTGTTCCTCAGAGGATCTCTGTGGTCCCACTGGCCCTGTGCAATGACTGATACCTGGGATAGCTCCAGGTGTGGAAGCTGTGCTTCCTCTTCCAGTGGGTTGAGGAGCTGGAGAATATTTTTTTTTTTGGGGTAGTACCTAACCTGTAAGGGACAGGTTTCTTCACAGTGGGTGAAGTAGAGAGAGGCTGAGATTTCACTGCTATAGTAGGGGCGTTCCTGTGTGGACTTTGAAAAGCAAATAAGGTAATCACTTGAAGTATGTTCTTCTGGGTTTTTTTGTTCAGCATAAAGAAGGCAAGAGTGGCACCAGGCTTTGTTTAGAAGAAACCCAACCCTTGCCACTGCCTTTTTTCCCCTGGGCTGGGAATTGGGTTACAAAAAGGAGCTGCTACTGTTAATAGTGAGCAAAGAATCTTCTTTAGCTTTTTTTTCCTTCACCACATTTCTCATTTCAGAGACCAGAGCTTTTTCACTTCCCAAGTTAAAGATGCTGTAAATCTTAAATGTGTCAGGATTCTTCATCCAGGTGTTCTGGGCATGCTCCAGTGACTCTGTACAGCTGCAGAATTCCAGGATCTCCAGACAGCTGTTCCATACAGAGACCTAATCCCGTCTCCCTTGATTTTTCTGTTTGACTTTGGGAGCTTGTAATGGACTTCTGTGAGCAGATTGTCCTGTATATGTGTTCTGCTGGCTCTGCTGGGGATTGAGGTCCTCTAAAGCCCTGAGGACACGCTCTGCTTTATTTGTGACATTGTTTTTTGCCTATCTCAGCTTTTCTTTGTGGTCCTGACACATTGCTTGAGTTGGGATAATCAGGGCAAAGCTTAGCAGCAGGAATTGATGGTGTTTGAATGAAAATGTGGGTGGTTTCTGCTGAAGTTTTAGTCCTACCTTTTCCTCTGTTCTCTAGGGTGGAGGGCAGGACCTGGTACACATCTCATCGAGGGAGGTTATGGATTGCAGCTACTGCTAAAAGACCTTCCCCTCAGGAAATCTCAGAACTGGAGGCCACCTACAGAATGCTGCTCCGGAAAGGTGAACTCCTCTCCTTGGTTCTTGGAGTGATTTGGTACATTCAGCCACATAATGAGCAATGTCAGAAATCCCTCTCTGCTGAGTAGGGAATGCTATATATAAAATTAAATTTCCCAGCCCTAGTCCTTTATGAGGAAGATCCTGACCTGGAAAAGGTACCCAAAAAAGTGTTAAAACTGCTGTATGTGTTCTTGTGCCTCAAAAAGTAGAGGTGCCTGGAGGAGAGGGAATGGCACTTGGGGATTGGAGGACCCCAGCTGTGTGTGGGAATATGGGCTCCCTGAAGAGCTGTTTCTTTTGCTGCAGATGTGGAATTTCCAAGTGATTATCCCTCAGGATGCCTCCTGGGCTGTGTGGACGTGACTGATTGTTTATCACAAGAGCAATTTCAGGAGCAGGTGAGTACAGAAATGAACCTTTCCATGCTTGCATTAACCAGCAGGTTTTTAAAGCTGTGGAACTTGCCTCTGGAGAAGACATTGAGTGGAAATTTTAGATTGTGTTGAGAAGACACAGGTTACTGCAGGGATTTATGTGACAGAGGACATGAGGGTGCCTGGCAATTCAGGACAGCATGGAATCATGGACAACTCTGCCACAGTGGTGGTGCTGTGCCTTGGGACCTTGTCCCTGCCCTGTGGTGCCAGTGGCACTGAGTGCCCTGGTGTAGGAGAGAGTGGCTTGGCCTGTGCAGGGGCATCATGATCCAGGGCTGCTGGATCTGCCTGGTGCTTCTTACAGGAGCTGCAGGTCCCAGTGGCCTCACTGGTGATGTCACACTGGCCTAGCTGGTGAGTTTTGTGCCCTGTTTGGGGCACTGAGTGACCTGGAGATGGAGCCATTAAAGGTGAGCTCTTTCCCACCAGGGAGGATGGACAGGAGAGCCACAGGACTACCTGTAGTGAAGCAAGGCTGGAATCAGGAATCTCTTGAGAAATCTCTACCCATAAAAGTCCATGGGTGGTGATGATTTGTGTCCAGATATGCTGAGAGCATTGGTAGGTGCCTTGTGAGGCCACTCTTAGCTTGGGATCCTTACGAAAACCAGGAGAGGACTCTTTGTAACTGTTGCACCCATGGTTAGAAAGGGAAGGAAGGAGATCTGGACACTTCAGGCCAGTTAGCTTCACCTTGGTCTTTGGGAACCTTGTAGAGAGATTACTCTTGGAAGGCAGTTTTGGGCACATGGAGGAAGAGGACATTAGGAATAGCAAGTGTGGATTTACCTAAGAATAAACTCGTGCTTTACTAAACCAATAACCTTCTTGGATCCAATAGATAGTGTAGGAGAGTATCTATTAACCTGCTGGCCTGGAGTAGGCACAAATTCCAGAGGAGTCCAAACCAGTAGAAGTATTATTCCTCTTTGCAGTGGTTAACCACGTATAGAATACTTAGGTCACCATAAAATTGTTGCTAAGCTGGAGCAAATCCCATGGAGACCACAAGGGTGGTTAGGGGCTGGAGCCCTGTGAGAAGAGGCAGGAGACACAGAGATCTTGCACTTCCTGCAAGGAGATTGCTGGGAGACAGAGCTGGGCTCTGAGCTGACATAGATGGCAGGAGGGTCAAGTTGAAAGGGGAGGGTTCAATGTGGCTTAAGGAAACAAATGACCATAAGGATGACCCAGCAGTGGGGCAGGCATTGCCTAAGGGGTTGAACTGTCTTCACCTGGGAAAATTTTCAAGACTCCAGAGGACAAAGCTGTGGGCAGCCTCACCTGAATTCAGTGTTGACCCTGCTTCGGTGGAGAGGCTGGACTAGAGACCTTCTGGGACCTGAGTCTGATGCTGTGACTGACTCCATGCTCCCAAAATCTGGAGCAGGAGCTTTCCTAGGGGTGTGTTCTATGGACTTAGAAAACTTGCACTTAGCAGCAAGCACAGCACGGCTGTTCCTGATCCCATTTCATCTCTGCTCACTCCACTGCTCCTTGTGCTTGTGGTTTGGTCTGGTGGGAATCACTAAACCATGACCATCTTGTGAGGTGGAATAGATGGGTTCCTTGGGAAGGAATCCACCAGGATGATCTTCCTGTGAAAAGCTGCAGAGGCAGCAGGAGTTGGGGCTGTTTTTCAGGGAGTGCTCCTCTGGCTTTCCCAAACCCTGTGAGGTTTTTATCTGGGAGAGATACCTGGAAAGACAGAGAGTGTATTTCTGATGAGATTGTGTCTCTTAATCAGAGGAGAAAGGCAGAGAAGTTAGAGTATGAGCAGCAGAGGGAGCTTTGGGACTGGAATACCATGAAACCTACGGGAGTATTTGGCTTTGTATGGGAACAGGCCTTGGGAGAGAGAGAGGAAGGGGCACTGAGGCCATTGTAGGCATTTTCTTTTGTAGCATCCACTAATTTGCAGTTTTGGCTTCAGTGTAGGCTCCTGTCCAGCTCCTGCTGTTTGTAACAGTGGTGGAAAAATAGATCTTGGTCTCTTGCAAGTACTTTTCTGTTTGTCACAATCCCTCTTCTTCCTTTGTGGATGTGTTGTTCAGACATTGGTAGAATGGCTGTGACAGCATCTCTGATCTGGGAATTGTGCTGTAGGTAACCAGCTTGAGTCTTCCCAGGGAGGACTTTCACAATTAGCCACATTCTCTGGAAATCCCTCCCAGTTTGTGAGCGCTGCTTGGCCACAGAGGGACTGGAGGCAGAGCAGTGTATTCCAGGAGCACCATTATCCAACCTGTTAGTGACAGATTTCCCTTTCTCCTCAATGCTGTTGTATTTCTCTGGCTTTTGCTGCTTCTGTATTCCAAACTACTTAATCCCTAATTTCCTGCATTTTAATAGTGATTTTGTCTGTTGTATCCCAGGATTCCTTTAAGCAGCAGTAAATTCCCTCACTTGTGAGCTAAAATCCAGAGATGTGTGTCTTTCTGCAGTTGCTTTCGGAGGAAATGTCTGGTTTTTTTGGCTCTCAGGAGCAGCAAGTGCATCTGAAGGAAGCTGAGCTGAATTTAATTGCAATTGTCAGCAAGATGACAAAGTGTGCAGCACCAGCTCAGAAATCTGAGTTGGGTCTCGCCAGGAGTAAGAAATTCCTGTAGCTCACGTGGCTGTTTCAGCCCGGGTTCATCAGCAGTGTCAGCACTGTGATCCAGCCATTTCCCAGTGTGCAAAGATTTCTTGTAGCTCAGGCAGAAAGGCAAGGAACATGATGCTTTTTCACCACTTAGGGCATGCAGAAACATTGGGTATTTTCAAGGAATGTGTGAGCAGGCGAGGGGAGGTGATGCAGAGCAGAGACCTCTCGGGGATTGAGCTCTCGTGGAGCTTTTCCAGGCGCTGTGCTTTGACTCACACCTCTCCTCCTCACCACCTCCTGTTTGAGGCTCCTGCATGTTCCAGAAGAAATCATTTCACAAGTGCAGGGTGAGCCTCACTTGCAGGTTATACCAACCTCCCAAGGATGAAATAGTTCCTGGCTTGCTCATGGTGTTTTGATGGTGATCCAGTGTTTTTTGGCAGCCACGTAAGTTTGGTTTGACTCTTGTGACTATTTGTTCCCATAGGCAAGGGAGACTGTTCCTGGTGTTAGGTCTGTTTTTCTTCATCCTGGGGGTGTTCAGCCTGGAGAAGAGAAGGCTCTGAGGAGGCCTTAGAGTCCCTTCCAGTGTCTAAATGGGCTCCAGGAATGCTGGAGAGGGTCTTGGGACAAGGAGTGCCAAGACATGGGGAAATGGCTTCCCACTGCCGGAGGGCAGGGTTAGATGGGATATTTGGAAGGAATTGTTCCCTGACATGGTGGTGAGGCCCTGGCACAGGTTGCCCGGAGAAACTGTGGCTGCCCCATCCTTGGAAGTGTTCCAGGCCAGGTTGGACAGGTCTTGGAGCAACCTGGTCTAGTGGAGGGTGTCCCTGCCCATGGCAGGGAGAGGAATGAGATGAGCTTTAAGTCCTTTCCAATTTAACCCAATCTGTAATTCCATGGCTTCGTGGTCTGTCCCCACTGCAACTCTCCCATTACCTCTCGGCCCTTTCCCTGCTGTCACCCACTCCCTGTTTAGCACTGTCTGCAGATTTAATTTCTCTGCTGTTTGCATCCTCTCTCAAGTTGCTAATGAAGATGTTGTGGCACCCCGCTGGTATTTTTCTGTCATTATCCTCATTTAATTTTTTTTTTTTTTACACTTGTGCTCAAAAAACCAAAATTAAGCAACGCTGCCCCAGCAGAGTGAGACCCATTCCCTGCCAGAGCTCTTGCATTATGACCAGGGAGTGGTTATTTAACCACATTTTTGCTGCACATGTAAGCCTGGCCTTTCATCACCCCTGAGAGGGGGCGGTCCCTACCTTCCTCTGCCCTACCTGCAGCATTTGAGGCCCGACTGACGCTGTTGAGATGGTTTGCAGATCCTGAGGATGTGTGGGAAGTGATGATGGAACAGGATCTGTAGTGCTGGAGCTGGCAGGGAGCAGAGGAAGAGTAGAGATGTCCTTGGGATTGGGATCAGTTGCACGTCAGGTACCCTAATCCCAGTTATGCTGCCTATTGCATGAACTAGTTAAATCTGCTCCTCTGGGTCTCTTTCCCACATGAAAAATAAAGCAATTCTTCCAGTCAGAGGTTATTTACACCACATCTTGCTGCTCAGAGCTGTGATCTTTGGCTTGAAGCTGCTCTGGCAGCAGAAGTTGTGTTCAGGCAGGAGGGTCCAGCCAGGTGTCCAGCATCACTTGTTCTGTTTGCAGGGACCTGCAGCCTAAACTCAGCCCTGGTTGCCTGGTGCCTGGAGATCCCTCTGAAATCTCAGGATTTCCAGTTGAGCTTTGCACATCTCGCCCCTCCTCAGAGTACATTCTGGGCTCATTTCCTTCTCTTCCTGGCAGCAACCCAAAAATCCCTGCTCAAGACCAGAATGATTCCTTTGTTACACTTTTCAGCTAGAGGTGACCTGGAAACTTTTTTCCCCCTAGGAGATCCAAGTGTTCACTAAGGCTTTTCCTTGCTCCGGGGCTGACGTCACTGACACCTTGAGCAGAGCAAGGAGCTGCCCTTGTTTTCCTGCACGAGGTGTCGGTGACTTCAGCAGCTCCCACTTGGGATCTGTGGGACGGGGCAGGCAGGCCTTGGCACAGGACTAAAGCCAGCAGGGAAGTGTTTACATTGATGCCATTTCCATGTGCCCTGAAGTCCATGTTAATTTTGCTAATGGCTTTGATCTGAGACGATTTAACTGGAAAAAGAGTGTTTCCTGCTGCTGTTTTGGTGGTTGATAGGTGTGTTTGGCTTATTTTGAGCGCAGACACACGCCAATACCTGGATGGAGCTATTATACCAGGCTGAAATATTGGCTAATTATGTTTGATGGGAGTTAAGTGTTTATTTTCCATTTCTAGGTGATCACTTAGTGTCCTAAATCTGCTCAGGGAACATGTAGAAGCTATTTTTGTGCCAC